AAAGAGCACGATGGCTAAAACTGTCTCTAAAAATCCCCCATAAAAACCTGCTGAAGGGCCCTTTGCATTGTCAACCCTGTGATTGTAGGGTCAACTACTCTGGTCATGGGACTGAAGCATATGACCAGGAAGGTTCCTAAGCTAGCCTAAAGCAGTCTTAATCCCTCAAATCTACCAAGTCAAGTCAGTCACCCACAATAAAAGGCCTTAGTAATTGTAAAACTATAAACACTACATGGATATTATTCTACACAAAAGAAACTTAATGACCAGTTGGTACAACTATGCAAAACATTTGAACAGCGCAATCTTCAGTACTTTGTCAATAACAAAACCCACACCACCTTTACACATCTTTATACTGCTATACTCTCTAGAGTTGTATAATGCCAAGTCATCATGACTTCAATGTCTGCACAGAACACTTGGTTACAGGTACACTTAAAATCAGACTATTCAATTTTTGGAGTTGTAAGAAAGACGTTTGGTGTGCATGTAAACATAGCCAATGTTTAGCTCATGCAACAATAAAGAGCACTTACTTAGGGTTGACTTTGACCCCAGCCTTGTCCAGACCAATCTTGTCAGTGCATGCGTCTCGACCCACAGCTATCAAGACCTTTAAGAAATTTTTTTTTAGATTTGAGTATGAAAAAAAATACTTCATGTACAAAATGATTAGTTATTGCACTTGACTTCAGTGTGCAACACTTTGAGAGGCAGTAATAATTTATATACCACTGCCAGGCTAGAATTAGACAATAGAATTTCATATGCATAGAACAAAACTCTTTATACATGTAGTTTTGACCTAGTTACTCTGTTTTCAGTCCATATTTATCAGTCTTCTCTTAAATGAATGAATGCTTCTCGGAAAAAGAATCTTCCTCTTTTAACATGTATCACAAATTTAAATCGCAAGGCAAATTGCAAGTAGACTTTATTCCAAAATTGTCCTGCTGTACCACCAACCACTCACTTATCCGCTACATCAATATGTGGGTAACACGAGCAGAACAGGTGAAGTGTCTTGTCTGCGAATACTACAGTACACACAAGTCAGAGCGAGCAAATTTTGGGCTGGTGGATGACTGTCAGTGCTTGAGAATGCCTGATCTTTGACTGACCAGCCAGTCTCTTCTACATTCTGTTGGAATCCAGAAGGGACTGGAGCCAGACAAAGGGTGAAACTTCTTTGTCCTGTCAATTACGCCCTCTGAAATCGGGGAGACAGGATATGGCTCCAGATCCACTCATCTTCATAAAGTCTTTCAAGCATGTGGTTCTGGCTGGTCAACCCGATCTTATCTGATATCATGAGCTTTATACAAATACAAAGCTGAACAGGGTTGGGTGCTTGCTTGGAATACAAAAGGGTAGATAGGGAAATGGTAGTGGTGCAGTGGTAAGAGCACAAATCAGCACACATGGTTATTCTTGAGTATCTTGCTTCCAGTGTGTGCAATGGTGTATGAATGAGTGTTTGTTTGCAGTAAAACAAACTAGTTAGCCTATGCTTCCAGTCTGGTGTGTTGAATGTATGTTGTTTGCTCATGAACATGCACAGTTCCAACCCAATACCAGTGTGGGTACTTTTGCTTTCTACTGATGGCTGGTGAAAGATATGGAGGGTGTTAAATGTCATTACATACGGTGTTATATTCTCCCTCGATGATCTCTTCCGTCTCTGTGGACTTCGCTGTCACCTTCAGCCTGCCGGGAGTGCCTGCTTCCAGCTCCTCAATCTGACACACACAGGTGCAGCCGTGTCAATGAGACATTACCAGTGTAGTGTTTGAGAGTTTAATGTTCTGAGATGCCATTATAGAAAGATAGCTCAACACAAAAGTTCGTTAATCCATAAACCATGCCACTAATTTCCTATACATTTAAGTCGTTTTTTAATGAATGTAGTTACTCATGTGTCATGTGTGTCAGTGTAATGAGAAATAAACTGAGATTGGTTTAATAAGATAGTGCATTAGTAGGTTGTTTTAGACTATAGGGTGAATTTTAGATTTTATGTGAGTTTACCATAGTCTTATCCACCAGAACACCAAAGTCAAGCCACACACATCACAGACATATTGCATAATTTTGCTGCCTCTTGTTGAGTTGGAGCTAGGGTTTAGATTTTCAATCTAAGCTTGAGTCATATGGTGAGATTTTATATTAAACAAAAAGGACAGTCATAAATGCTCCACCCTTGGGTGGTTGGGCTGATTTTTTTTTTTACACTGGATCTAACTCTGAAGCCTCTTCAGTGTCTATAAATATTAAGCTATGCATTAACAGTTGTATGAAAAATCTGTTACACTGAAATATTATGTGTTATTAATAACCAAAATAACAGTGTGCAAAAAAGTTAACAACTCATCTCTCAGAGGACAACAATCTTATGTCTGGACTTATGTAAACCAGTTTGAATTCATTTGCATTTAAATGTAGTGCAATTTAGCAAATACATTTTTTTTTAAATAATGAAAAGTGAGTACCTTTGTTGGGACATATTTGCGGAGGAACTTCACTCCATGTTCCTCCATGTACTCTCCAGCACGGTTGGCCATGTCTTGGTCAAATCCTCTGAGCAATATGGACCTCACCATTACTGTAACATCAAGGCCCAAACCAGCCAGAAAACCTCCACACTCCAGTGCCACATAGGAGGCCCCAATCACTAGGGTTTTCCCCGGGCAGTACGGCAGGTAGAAGAGGTCATCACTGTAGAGAAGATGGACAGCAGCCACAATCAAATAGAAAGTTATTAAATTATTACTTAATAGTATTAAATTCCTTGAGGGCAATTGAGAGAATTGTTGTCTGCAAGAACCCAAGATCATAAAAATAATTACTACATACTCAAAGCCCAACACTGCACTCACCTGGTAATACAGCACTCCTTGTCTCCAGGGATACCAAGATAGCGGGGCCTCTCCCCGGTTGCCAACACAAACTTGGCAGAAGTGTAAAAGGTCTCCTTCCCCCGCTTGTTTGTTGCCTGTTGAAAAGCAATCCACGTATTAAAATAAACATTTTAAATCCTAGATATTTACAGATGAATTACTGACGTGATATTTTACGCATTTTAGCAGTACCTTAATTTTGTGTGGTTCAACAAACTCTGCATATGCATTGACATAGTTGACCTTTTTGTCCCTCAGTGACACCCTGTAGCCCCAGTTTAATGAGCCAATGTAGTCATTCACTGCACTTCTCATAGTGTCCCAGTTGTGTTTCACTAAAAAAGGGTCACATTAGCAAGCAAACTATACCACAAACCCATTTTGAGACCATTACAGTACCCTCTTATGTCCTCACCTGTCTCATCAAACTCCCAGCCAAACTTGCGAGCATCTTGCATAGCCGTCGCCAGCAGAGCTGTTTGGTGCATCAGTTTTTTGGGAATGCAACCCACATTAACACATGTGCCACCAAGACCTGTGAACAAAAGCAAACTACATTAGATAATAACTTTAGACACCAAAACCATAAGGTTTACAGGTATCTTACCCCATGTTGTTCCTTTTGGTGTGGGGACAACATAGTCTAATACCATTACTTTCTTCCCAAGCATAGCAGCTTCCTAACGAACAAACCAAAAATGACAATCACAAGATTGCAAATGTGTACACAACACTTATAAAGTAGTAGACATTGAACAGTCCATAATATGAGACTGCACATAATTTTGTACCTTTGAACACGCCAGTCCTCCAGACCCTCCTCCGATCACAATCAAGTCGTAGTCATACGTTTCACTTTCTGCACTGAGGAGCTGTTGTAAGCTGCCATCCATATGGGCCTGAAAATGTATGCAAGGTAAATAATGCAACAAGAGATGACCACAGACTATGACTCAAGACTAGACTACACATTCTACTGACATATCTTAAAATCAAAGCATTTATTATTATTTTTTTTACATTAAATATATTTTAGACAGCAAACAGTAAATCAACTTCATACCAAAAAGAGACAACATGAAAAGAAAAAAAAAGTCATAAATAGGATTTCCTGCCTGCATTGTTTTATCACAGCCGCCAAGGTGAGTCTTGTTGATAAAGACATTAGGAACTGTTCTTTGTCCAGTCATTTCAAGCAGCATTTCCTGATAGGTAGTCCCATCCTCTAAAAAAAGGACAATATACCATAACTCAGAAAACAAGAACCTAACTGAAGTGAGGAGTCAAAATTATTTACAAATTTAGACACTGCATTTAACTGTTAAAAAACACACTAGTGTTGCAACTTGCACAAAAGAGGAAATTTGTCAGCTTGCTATACATCTGCAAATACAAGGTGAACTTAACAGTTAGGAGGACTTAGCATTAATCATTCAGGACATAACGTTAAATAATAAAATGTAGAGCACTCAGTTCAAAGAAGATAAAACAGCAGACTGTCAGGCAGCATCAGTCTTCACGGAGTGACTCAGCATTTTTCATTTGCCCCCAGTACTTGAGTAAATAAAGGCACATGAGACACGAAAGGCAACGAAAATAACATTTGGAATATAACCTCAATAATACACCTAGTTGCAGAGAGACAAAATACCCCCGTGTAAGGATTAACAAATGTGCCCACAATAGCATCTGTAATTGGCGATATATACGCTAGGTTATGTTATATACATATCACATGTAGGCAACTATGGCCAACTGTTTTAATTTTGAGTAGAGTTCGATAATCCATCCCATTCTTCATAATGAACAGTTTAAAAATAATTTCTCAGTCCTTACCAATTTGATCCAATTCTACCACATTGCATTTCACTTGGAGCTCCTTGAAAAGGTCTTTTACCTGGACAAACAAAATATCAACGTTTAAACTCAACCCACTGCTCAAAGATTAAGACGTGGATGAAAACAATAGGCCATGTTAAAATATTAGAAAGTAGTATTTGGGAAAACAGGCCGAGGCAAGCATTAAGAGCCTGGAGAGGACAAGTGTTTCCGACAGACCCGGTTAACTAGGCCTCTTCCCCAAAGAACAAGGTCTTACCTTGATACAATAAGGACAGTAGCTTTTACTGAACACCACCACTTGATTGGAGTCAATAAGTTGCTGTATCCGAGTCTTAAGCTCAGTTTTACCGCTGTCATTTTCAACGGGCGGCATTTTGTAAGTATTTCCGTTTAAGCCTGCGCCGGGGCAAGCTCAAAAGACGCAAAACGCAACTTGAGTAAAACACACGCCTTTGCGATCCACACCGGCCCGTCTACACAGGCCAGAAAGCGGTTAAAACGTGCTTTTGCCCCCCGGTCCCTCGACCAAGAGTTACTTAACCAAGAATGAACTCCGTGATGTCCTCAGCTCCACTCTCACGACTCGAACCGCGCCAAATGTCTTTTCCTATTTGTAGCGCTGCTGCTGTGGGTGCGCTTGATATGAAGCTCCTACAGCACCACCGTGCGCAGCGGCGTAGCAGTGTTTGATGGGATGTTCCCGCCCACGCAACCACTCTGATGCAGAAAACAAATGCACTACCAAAAAACGTCATCTTTTGTTCATTTCCATAGAAGTTCATTTCATATAAAATCTTTTTTTTAAATTAAATATTTCACTTTACACATGAACTTGCATCTCATACAAATAGGCAAATACAAAGGACACCAATAACTGTTAAACTGTTAAAGACAGTGGAAATAAATACATATACATACTAACTTAATATACATACAATGACCACCATTCTACAGTTTTACAGTATAAGGTCGGATGGTTTTAATGTACAATTACATTTCTTTGTAAAATACGTTGAATGCTGTTTTTTGTTAGCAGCTTTACATATATGTATAAAGTACTTACTAGCCATAATAATTACAAGTTTGTTTGTATTTTTGCCTAGATGGGTCGCAATCAAAAAAGTCTTTCCAAAATGCTGTAAATGAGTTCCAGATGAGATCTTATTACACAACTGTCATTAAGATCTTTTGTATTGCATCATCACTGCAGTTTCATAACTTTTTTTTAACCCCCTTTCCTGTCCGTGTATAATTTATACATTTACACAGTAACTCAACATCTCTATTATCACAAAGGCAATTTAAAAGGTTGCTAATTCCACGATTTCATAATGTATGGACAAACAACATCAGTCTGTTGGCGCCATCTGCTGGAGAAAAACTAAAACGTCAAACATAAACTTTTTTTTTTTTTTTTTTTTTTTAAATTCAGTTATTATTCGTCGTGACGAGAAGCGTTGATAAAAAGATCAACTGAATTGTTAGGAATCTAAATAGTGCGCGGCTGTTAATACATTTTACTTCATCTCATCTTTTTGCACTAATCTTAAATAATTTTAACGTGATCTTATTTTTACTGAAAAATATATTTAATCAAGTTCCTGGACCGTAAAAAAAAGAGTTAATGTACTTTCTTGAGAAGAGCCCGTATCCTTTCCTAACAGCATCTACCATCTCCCCATGAGGTCACTACTGCTGAATCAGACGCTCGTCACTTCGTCTTGCAATCTGCACGCATATTTTTCAGGTGAGTGTGTTTTCGGGTGAAGGCGAGCCCCGTAGTGACAGTAGTCAGCAGTTTAGGTGTTGCAACTGTATTATCTCATCTTAGGAGAGGCCGGGGGCATTAATTCCTCCTACAAGTTTGAACAAGACCAGTGCCCATTACGAAAACCATGCGGATTTACTAAGCAGCTGACTCGATCCCCGTTTAGTTGCTCCACCTCCACCTCCCAGAACTAAACTGATCTGTGAATCCGCTAGTCAAGCAGTTTCTCAAGAAGAGGAAGCGGGGAGGCAGGCAAGCGTGTACTGAGAGAGACTAAAAGAAAAGTTACCATGGCTGACAATAAAATGGGACCAAATCTCCAGGCTGGGGCAGGAATTTTCGCGAGGCGGGTCCAGAAATCCCTAAACAGAGCTCAAGAAAAGGTAAGACACGGTTTTTATGTGTGGATTGTTGAAATGTTGAAACTACAAGCTTTTACTTTTAAACTATCATAGTCAGCAAAATTCCATTCAAGTTGATCTTACAAAAATAATAGTGACATTTGACAAAGATAGGCCTACTTAACTCTTGATCTGCCTGTCTATGGGGTTCCCTGTTGAAATAGATGATGGCCAAGTTTATTATTTACCAGCAGGTCTAGAATATGTTTGTGCTTTATTGATTGGCTATCCATCATTAACCATACATCCAAGTGACTCTCAGATATTATTGACTTTAAGTAACACAGCAAGTTAAATGATAAAACAGGCGTTAGTTTCTTTGCAATAAGCAGCGTTTTACTGTATGTAGCTGAATGTGAACAAAGCTGCCACTTCCTGTCTCCACTTCCCCTCCAAAACCTTACACCTTCTCAGTCATTTTGTGGTTGCATGATGTTGTTGCACCACCTGAAATCTGTCTAGGTGGATGTAAGCTATTTTTAATCATGCTACTTTAGAAAATGTTGCAAAATACAGTTTACTAATGTTGGAAATGCTACTATCTGTTTTTAAGTTGGTGACATCAAAACATCTGCATGCGGTGAACTTAAAAAATTTAGTCTCTATTCAGTCCATTTATGCACTGCAAGAAGACATGTAGTGACTCACATTCGACATCTAGCCTATAATTTGCAACAGAGTCACTCAGTTACATTTAGCAGGTGGAACATTTCCTCAAGTTTTAACTCTTAAGATATTTTAAGTTATTTTCCAAATAAGGTGCTGACATTTTATCTTCTGCAGGTTCTTCAGAAACTGGGTAAAACAATGGAGACCAAGGATGAACATTTTGAGTTATGCTCCCAGAACCTCAACAAGCAACAGGTGGGAGTTACAACATTGACCTCCTCCCACACACTGCAGTACAACTTTGAGACGGGCTGACACTGGGTAGAAACTGCAAAACAAAGCAACACATTGTCACAGATGATGATTGCCACAAAGTTTTCATTTTGAACTAGTGTAGCTCAAAATGCATTGATGCATTTTTGTTTGCATATCTGACAAATCCAAAATCTAATGTTATAATATTGGTGTTTACTATCTGACACACTCTGGGCTTAAGCTTTGGCTAGTGCATGTAAGGTAAGGATATGCAGAATATGAGTCGATTGTCCCATGATTTCAGTGTTCATCATCATCAGGTCTGCACACACTGGGCTTTGTTTTCCTGCTTCATTTATGTCATGATGCCAGCACACAAGTTCAGACAATCAGGTTGGCCTTGAAAACAGGAAATACTTGATACAGATGCAGCCTTGAAACATCTATCAAACAAAACATGCACAAGTGTGTCTTTATTTGCATATGTATGATAACTAATGGGGTTATATTGTGTATAATTAAATACTAATGTATGTTGATGTTTTTATGTGTCAAACCAGACACAAACATATTTCAACACGAACATCAAAACGGGAAGGAAACCCCTTGCTGACAAGGAGTGGAAAAAAAAAACAAAAAAAAAAACACTTTCACTTCACCGCTGTGACCACATCACATCACATCACACAAATCAAGCTTTAAAATTTGGTTGATTATGTGGTACTTACATTTTTGTGTACCACTGTAACTCATATTATAACATTTATGTTGTTTTCAGATGGATGGAGTCAGGTTGTTCAAAGATGTTAAGGCCTATTACTCAGCTGTGAAAGGTTAGTATGACCTTTAAACTTTATGACTCAAAACTAAACAGAGCAATAAGTCACTCTGATTTATTGCTAAATATTTTTTACTCTATATACAAGGCAACCCTCAAATGAAAACTGCTGACCAAGCAATTTGACTTTTAATTCCTTGAAAACACTCTCCTGCACCATCTGTTGTCAGCTGTTTCCCTTTCAGAAAGCCAGTGTTATTTTGGCATTTGGCTTTGGGTGTAGCAGCTGTAGCTCAATGCCTTTACAGGGAGCTCTGTGTGGTATTCACTATTGTCATAATTTAACTTTTAACAATATCCTGCACATTTTTCTAGCTGTACATGAAACTTCAAAGAGGCTGTCCCAGACTTTAAGAGACGTCTATGAACCAGACTGGGATGGATTGGAAGACCTTGCTGTCATTACTGATGTATGTATACAATGTGTACTACAGCATAGATTTTGATAGTGGTGGAACGTAATGAAGTAAAAGTAATAAAGTCCTGCCCTTAAGTATAAATTGTAGTTATCTGCACTTTACTTGAGTAGATGTTAAAGTGGATACATTTTACTTTTTCTTCACTACATTTGAGAGCAGGTATTGATACTTTCTATTCCACTATATATTTTTGTCTTGACTGAAAAGTATTTTTTATTATTGTTTGAGACCTGCTGAAAAGCCAGAGGGTTTATTTTAACACACTCATAATTTGAGCAAACCAAAATGTAAAAAGAAATACAGCTAGGAAAAAAATCTATTCAGTTGCTTCTGTTGAGCAAAATTCAGCACAAGTCTGTATCAAAATCACTGCATTTGAACCTTTACTAGAAGCTAGAATTTGTGTGACATACTTTTATTTTTTACTCTTTAAGTACATTTTTAAACAGATACTTTTTCAGGAAAAAATCTACTGATCTAGTATTTTTTTGCTCCGTTATCTGTACTTTTACTTAAGTAACAAAACTGAGTACTTCTTCCACCACTGGACTTAGATAGTGGAAAAAATTATAGATTTATTGGCAAGAACTGTATCTTATTTGTATGTTGTATGCTTTTTGTAGAGCGAAGACTTACTGTGGAATGATTTTGAGGAGAAAATAAATGACCAGCTTGTCCGCACTATGGAGAACTACACAAGTCAGTTTCCGGAGGTTAAGGTAACTTAATTCTTAATCTTTTCCTCTTTTCCATACAAATGCTGTATTATTAAATGATAAGTATAATTTAAGGAAAGAGTTGCCAAACGCTGTCGTAAATTAGTGGACTATGATTCTGCTCGCCATCATTTGGAAGCTCTTCAAAGTGCAAAGAAGAAGGATGATACCAAAATCTCAAAGGTAGTAGTACACATTTTCCCCAAACAATAATTATGATACAGTGGTTTTAAGACTTGATGTGTTTTAGGCTGAAGAAGAGTTCAATAAAGCCCAAAGTGTTTTTGAGGAGATCAATAATGAGCTGAGAGAAGAGCTACCAGGACTCTATCAGAGGTATGGCTGTAATCTATAATTAAAATGTTTAAATTAAATGTGGCAAAATATGAAACAAATTATAATGTGATTGTTGTCTTGAAGATATGCAAACTGCAAAATGCTGCAAAAAGAGTTGCATCAAAATAAAAGTGATATTCTTACAATTAGACAAACTTTATTGAACCACAAGGGACGTTACTTGGACACAGTAGCTCACACATCACAATATAATATAATAACAAAGAGTAAAAAATATAAATAGTAATAGTAAATTCAAAATAAGTAGCATAAATTAAAAAAAAAAAGTCAGTTTTCCAAGAGCTACTGTGTTCTGTTGCCACTCTCAGGCGCTCAGGTCATGTCACTACATATTTTTCAAACAAGGATATTAAGTGATAATTCTGCCCATTTGCTGGTCATTTTACAGTTTTTTCACACTTGATACCTCAACCAATACATTTAAAGTCATGTATTTTTGTTTGCTTACCAACAGCCAAATGCATTATTGTATCATTATTGTTATTCAAATATATTGAAAACTCAAAACTCAAATCAATTATCATGTGTCCCAATCCTGCCCAAAAAACAAACCAAAACAAAAAAACTAATCAAAAATCTTATGTTTACCTGTACAGTCGGATTGGTTGCTATGTGACCATCTTCCAAAATATATCCAACCTCAGAGATGTCTTCTACAAAGAAATGAGTGTGGTAAGAGACAACACGTGTGAATTTAATCCCAAATGTGAATTAATTAACATATTTCTTGATTTGCAGCTAAACCGTGACTTGTACAATGTTATGAAAAAACTTGAGACCCAGCATTCAGGCAAAGCTTTTATTGTGAAGGGCCTGAACAGGTAAGTCAGATGAAGTTTTGTGAAGTTTATTGCTAACTAAATGTCATGCTCACTTCTCTTGTAATCTCAGCGCGGCAAGCAAGTCAAAGAAGAAAAGATCACTGGTTATCTCCAACCCCATTCCTTGTAACACTGCATTCCCAGCTGACCACGTGTCCATCCATTCAAACGGTGCCGATGGATCTTCCACCTCCAGCCAGCAGTCTGAAAGTGTCACAGAGGAGCAGGGAAAAGACAGCGGTTCTTCAACTAAAGACATGAACTCCTCAGACTCAGACCTCAGCTCCACTGGCAGCAATACGCCTCAAAGACAGTCCATGTGTGATCATGAGGACAGTGACAACAGCAGTGGGAATCATTCTATAACAGAGGCTGAAACTGGTCCAGAATCGGAGCTCTCCACCAGTCAACCACATGATCAACCACATGATCAACCACATGATCAACCACATGATCAACCACATGATCAATCACATGATCAATCACATGATCAATCACATGATCAATCACATGATCAACCACATGATCAACCACATGATCAACCACATGATCAATCACATGATCAATCACATGACACAGAGGAAGAAGCACCTACAACTCAGGAATTGAGTGAAGAGGCACCCGCTCCGTCTATGGATGGTAGTGATGCACAGAGTCTTTCTGAAGACAATGGTAGCGACGTGCCAATGGAGGAGGTCAAACCCAAACCAGCCCCAGTTCCAGCCCCACGCCTGTCCTTTCGCAGGGCAGAGAGGCACCCAGCAAACCCAGAAATGCAGGAGCAGCTAGAGCAAAAAGACTCCCCAAATCCTCCAGACTTTTTGTACAAGGTAACTGCTTGTTATTTTACAGCAAATGTTTATGAGTGGTACAGATATTCCTCTCATTAAAGGTGCACTGTGTAACTTTTGTGGTGGAGAGTCTGTTGCCAGTTTGTCTCCATTTATTTCCATGGTAACATGAAAGTAACACCACCAGACAATGCTACAAGTAAGATCTGTGGAGATGTTACCCTGCTCACACATGCCGTATTTTCCGCACCATAGGGCGCGCTCATAAGCCTCCAACCCCATCAAAAAATGACTGCGCGCCCCACAATCCAGAGCGCCTTATACACGAATCCACTCGGGTGTCCCAGCACGTTTTCAGTAAACTACAAAGCACGCAAACACACACGAAGCAGACAGCGACTGCACAGCGAAAAACACCCACAGCCACACTCATCATTCCATGCCGATGAGGAATGGAACGGAGGAACGAACTAAAAAAGTGAGTGCAATGTGCCACTCCTAGCCACAACTGAACAACTGAGTCACTGCGAACACACCAACAATCCAGCGGTCCCAGACAGCACCCTCCCTACACACCACAATTGAACAAAGCCCAGAGTCACCGTGAACGTGCCAAACAAAGTTCAACTCACCCTTAGTAACTGTTGTGTTTCGTTTAAAGTCTGGTGTGTTTTATTTGTGAAAAAAGTTTGAAAATAGACCACTCTGACAGGTGTGCCTTATAATCCAGAGCGCCCTTTAGTGCAGAAAATACGGTATATGAATGCCCCCCCCCAAAACAAAACAAACAAAAAAACACCCCAAACTGATTTAAGATTAAGTTTAATGTGCAACACTATGGAACATTCAAGGTAAAACAATTACACAGTGCACCTTTTAGCATGAAGTTAGAGTATAGTTTTTGCATGGCTCTCTTTCATACGTCACTGCTTCACTAATGGACTAATGAACTAATGTTGTGGTGTAGATTTGCATTGCTTTTAATTTTCATGCACTGAGGAAATGGTGCTCATGGTGTTAATAAATTCTTGTAACCAGGCAGTGGCACTAGAGAGCCATGCAGCAAGTGAAGATGGCCTGCTCCAGTTTGAAGAGGGAGATTTCATTCTGGTGCTGTCTGGCTCTCAAGAGGTTTGCTTTTTATATTGGATTTTTTTCCTGAAGTAGTTTTCCTGAACTTTAAACAGTGTTTCATTGCACACTATCTCTGCTAACACTATTACAACCTCCTCTACCATCACTACCCATAATGTAATGTCTGCATTATTGATCATTACTAAATATAAAATTTGTTTTGCTAGTTTGCTGTGTCACAGAAAAACACATGCCCTTAACAATGACATTTGCCCCTCTTTACAGGAAGGCCTTCTGAGGGGGATCCGGGAGGAGAGCTGGCTTCAGCACAGAGATGTAGAGAGTCACTCAGGCGTTGTCTCAGAAAAACTCCTAAAGCCTGTACAGAGTGAATAGATGCACTGCTTATATATGTTCTTCAGAAACTCGCAGACAAGAGCAAGAAGAGCAAGAATGGTTTTAAGGAAACAGGACTGGGGAGACATCTTTTTTTTTTTAAATTAAAGCTTGTTGAACAAATGTCAAAGAACAATTTATTTGAAATACTGTGAAGCAGTTTTTATAAACCTTTATATGCAATGTATAATAAAGTTGTATGATTTTTCTTCTGGTATTGTGTCAGATAACTGTGATTCCTGCATTTGTTCTAACTAAGCACCATTTAGCCTATAATACATGTATTAGGCTATTGGTGAATTTGGATATTATTTAAAACTCCTACGTTATAAAACAAGAATGTCGTCCAGCTTGCCAAGTATGGAAATAGTGTGTGCGTAAATCTTGGTGGTAGAGGCAATTTAGCCGCGTTGCTTTTGTCAGTCTACCACAGGGCTGCTGTGGCCATAATAACATCGTCCCACCACCCAGGGTGGAGTGAATAAATAATGTGTCATGAATTGTTTTGTCCTGTCATGAAATCCAGGCTTTCATGGCAGGACAAAATCCGAGTCACGTAATGAATCACATGAAAGAGATATAAACTTCTTGTCCTGATTTAAAACTGCCTCCAAATGCATCATCTGAAGCTCAGGTCAAATCTGACTGTGTTTTTGCATGTTTCCTCTCCTTTTGGACATGTTCACACTGGTCGCACTGACAGTCTGGAGCAGACAACCTCTTTCGTGGGAGAGCGGGACATGGGGGGGAGTCAGCTACTGGGGGTGGAGTTTATGGACGATTTGATCCCCACATGCTTTAAATTCTCTCCACATTTTATCCCACGCCATAGCAAGCTAGTTGTTTTCAGTGGATGCGATGTGGACAGTGGCACGATTATGGCTTATCTGTTTCAGCGTCTGGCTCCCAGTTCGGCTGCACGGAGCCCTGATTGTCTCCAGGAGAGATGTTTCAAGTCAGGTACGCCGCTCAAATAATAAACACAAGCTTAATGCGAATTACCAAACTTTACATGTATTACATGTATAATTAGTAACAGCAGTCTATGTACTTTTGCTATTTTTTTCTTCAACCTATACAAAGATGAAAAGTTGCGGTCATGTAAGACATTGTAAAGGTAAAGGTGCATTGTGTAGCTTTTCTGGTGCAGGGTCCGTCACCTGCTTGTTTCAGTGGATTTGTCATTATTCTGCTTGGAATGTTCCAACGTATGACATTAAACTTCTCTACCTTACATTTAAATTACAGGTGAGTTTATAGCTCAAAAATACCTTGAAAAACAGGCATTTTGACTGTAACGTTCTCCACAGATCTGACCTGTAACTTGGTCTGGTTTGGTCTCCATGAAGATTGAAAGGTTTAATACCATGCTGAGAAACATAACAGACAAAACAATAACATTTCCATGGAGAAAAGCATTTGACGGACTCTCCATCAGAAAAGTTACACATTGCACCTTTAAGCTTTTAAAGATAACATTGCACTTACTAATAGTTTACATTTAGAAAATGAACACTTACCAAATCATCTGTGATTAATGTTTGGGTAAACGTTTAGATGCAAGGTGCAGTCGCCTGTAAAATCTTCATCACAGTCCCAGGAATCAGACTGTTGTACCATCCAGATCCTCACTAAATTTAAAAATTTGTTTTTATATGTTAAAGTACTATTAATAAATAATGCATATTTTACATAACAGTAATCAATATAAAATGCTTTATTTTAATGTGCAGTTTTCATTATAATTCTGGCAGTTACTTTTGGCTAAGAGCCTCAAGTCACCCTCTGTGTCAGAACCTATGTTGAGAATTGCTTTATATGAGTCATCAACAAGCCTTTACACGATTTAATCTGATGTCTCACTAATCATAGTTGATTATCCTTTAGTCCCAACAAAAGTGCATCTTGATATTCTCATAATTACGTAACCCTACTCATGCATATTGGCCAGTTATTTGCATTGGACAATGATTTCTACAATTTCCTATGAATTGAAAATAAGAAAATTACATGTATGTTTTTTTTTTTCTTTCACAGGAAAGAAGCTCTGGACCAATGGGTGTAAGAAACTAGTTGATGAATAAAAAAAATAAAAAAAATGCGTCACAATAGTGTGCATGAAATTTCTGGGTTAGATTTTTATTCACAGTGGGTGTATTGTTTGTGTTTAAACTTTATTCTATTACTTCCACATGGCGCCAGGCATTTACTGCTCTTCATTTCCTCCCTGACTGTTGCTGTGCTTTCTGCTCTGATAATTCTATCCGTATTGAAGGTGAACTAGGCTATGTAGCTTTTCTGGTTTGTCACCTCCTTCACTCCACGGAGATGTTATTGCTTTGGGTATGTTCCACAGTTCGGCATTAAACTTATTTATCTTAAATTTATTAATGTTGTAACAAAATACTTTAATGTTTAATGTTATACTGTGAAAAGTACCAAGCAAAGAGATAAGCAGGATACACCAGAAAAGTTACATAGTCCACTACTGCATTACTACATTTTGTTTTTGACTGCTCACTGTGTATGTACTTGTATATTTCTTTTATTTATTTATTTATTATCTTTTTATCCAGAAAGTGGAGGTGTACAGTGTAACGGTGGACTGCACGGTTACTTCACGTTTCGCTCACACCATCATGACGTCCAAGGCCCGAAACATGGCCAACAGCTCACAGGAAATCTTCTTTGAAGTGGAGCTGCCCAAGACTGCGTTCATCACCAACTTCAGCATGTCAGTTCTGACCCCGTTGGTCTGTTGTCAGGATATAATTTAAAGGACAATTCAGATCATGTTTCTATATATTTAACGTTTACATATATTTGAAGGTCCCATGTTGCATAAAATTGACTCTTGTGAGCTTTAAGCCATGTTAAAATGTTGTTACCTCATCAAAAATATACCTGGACTTGTGTTTTGTTCACACATATTTGAGTGACACTTTATTATTTGTCTACATCTCTGAAGCTCAGAATGCTCTGTTCCACCTTATGATGTCATGAAGTGGTTGTGGTAGTTAACAGCTACTTTTTAACTTTTGTTTAGTAGAGACTGGCAATTCCAGATCTGAAATCATCCAGTTTTCTAGTGAAGAAGAATGGAGTTCAAAAACACAGTGGGGCAGTTTCAGTATCACAACGTGAAACAGAATGTTTTCTGTTTGTGGGAAAAACTAAATATGCAGAGTTTGATTGTTAATGAAACAAAACACAACTCTGGTATGTTTGTGATGAGGAACATACATTATAACAGATCAGAACATAGTGAAATATGGGAACTTTAAAGGACAATTCAAACCATGTTTTCAAACTTTTATATATGTATTTAACAGTCTGCCCCAGGGCAGCTGTGGCTACAGTAGTATCTTATCGCCACTGAGTATGAAGTGCTATATAAAATGTATGCATTATTAACTATATATAAAATGTTTGGCCTATACTTGAACAAACTATGACTGAAAAGAAACCAGTACAAATTCCATATTATCCAGATTATAAACCAGATTAATGAATGAGTTGTGTTCATATTGTACAATATGATGATGCCATTATCTCAGAGGACAGGGTTTTATTTATAACTCTTTGGGAGATTCACTGCTTTTGAAAGAACATTGAACCTTATCACTACTGGTTTGGGGTAGGGTCTACAAACTACTACTTCCCATATAAATTAGGGATGCACCAATCTGATATCCGTATTAAATATCGGCGATAATACTGAAAAATCTGCTGGACTGAATATCAGCTATCAAATATTGGATCAGCCTATATCCAGTTTGGACAGATAAACTGATGTAATAAAACTATTTACTGGTTGTAGTTGGACCAGAAACCAGAAAGGCTCAATGTCTGAACTTTTATTTATACAAAGTTGTCCTGTAGTTACTTTAGAGATAAATACCAGCTCATAATAGTTTATTTTTGTATAAAGGAAAAAGATGCTGTTTTCACTCTGTGCATAGGTATCATATGGGCAGATTAGATTGATATCAGAACTAAAAAAAACTATCAATGCATTGCTAATATGAATCTCATGGCTTTAAGTCCTTTCAAACAACCACAATTACACCTTTAGAACAGAAGAAAGCTGGTACCATGTTTGAAGATATTTTGACAATTAATTTAACTTTTGTTTATTTACAGTGACAGAAGAAAATGAACATTGTGCTGGTTTTTGTTTCATGTGCACCTGTGTTTTATTTGTTTTTAAATTGACCTTTTACTCCACAGGGAAATCGATGGTAAACTCTATGTTGGAGAAGTAAAAGAAAAAGAAAAAGCAAAGAAACAGTACGATAAAGCTGTCTCTTCTGGACAGACTGCTGGAATAGTCAAGTAAGTGTTTATACTGTATGGGTGGTGAACATAGATATACATTTGGTTTGCTTGATCTCTTTCAATACCACAGTGCAATAATGCATTTAAAGGTCTTATATTGCACAAAATTGACTCTTTTGAGCTTTTATAATGATTTTTATAATGTCGTTACCTCCTCTGTCTCTGCTCTGTTCCACCTTGTGATGCCATGAAGCTGTAGTTTTCAAGTTAACTGCTCCTTTTTTCCTGAAGTTCAGTAGAGACGGGCAGTTCCAGGTCTAAAATGGTCAGAATGAAACTAGTGAAAGTGTTTGGAGTTTAAAACACAGTGGAGCACTTCCTGTATTTCCAGATGACATCACAAGGTGGAACAGGTGGAGTGTTTTCTGTTTGAGAGAAGAACTCAGCCTAAATATGCAGAATTGGTTTGTTAAACATGTGTGAATGAAAGAAAACACAACTCCACGTATGTTTGTGATGAGGAAACAGCAATTTTAACATGGATCAGAAAATAGCGTAATATGGTCCCTTTAAACGTTTTGCAGGGCTGCAGGGAGGAAGATGGAGCTATTTGCAGTGTCTGTCAACATTGCAGCTTCAAGTTATGTTGTGTTTACACTCACTTACGAGGAACTTCTGCAGAGAAAACATGGCAAATATGAGATCCTGACACAAGTAAAACCAAAGCAAGTTGTCCAGGAGTTTAAGGTAAAGTGACATTTTATTTTTATGAATATTGAAATCACACTCTTTACTTGACTGTTTTTTTTGAGGATTTTTTTTTTGCATGTTGGCGCAGATAGTGGCAAACATTTTTGAGCCACAGGGCCTTGCATTTGTTGAGACAGAGGCAACATTCTTGTCCAATGACCTGCTCCCTCTGGTGGAGAAAGTTGTCACTGACAAAAAGGTAACACCATTCATTCAGTTAGCCAAGCATAAATACATGAAGTGTAAATAACGATTACTTATTTCTGCAGGCACGTATTTCATTCTCGCCAACAGTGGAACAGCAAAGGAGTTGTGCAGAATGTGTGGAATCTGTCATTAATGGAGATTTCATTATCAAATATGATGTAAAACGAGAAAAGGATTTGGGGGACATTCAGGTAAGACATGTGCATTAATGTCAACGTGTGATATTGATGCACCTACCTTTGTTTGATTTATTTATTTATTAGAAACTGTATGTTTTATGATGTTTAATTAAATGTGCATTGTGAGCTTTAAACCATGTTAGAATGTTGTTACCTCATCAAAAACATACCTGGAGTTGTGTTTTGTTTCATTCACGTGTTCTATTTTCAATATATAGTAATTCTGCATTACTGGGCTCTCTATATCGCCAAAGCTCAAAATGCTCTTTTACACCTTGTGATGTCATGAAGTGATGGTTTTCAAATCAACAGCTTCCTTTTACCTTTTGGTTATTAGACATTGCCAATTCCAGGTCTGAAATTATCCACATAAGTCTAGTGAAGGTGTATGGAGATTGAAAACACGGTGGAGCGCTCCCTGTATTACCACATGACATCACAAGGTGGAGTCTTATCTGTTTGAGAGGAGAACTAGATCCAAAAACAGTATAATATGATCTCTTTAAGTACCTGTAAACTGGAAACACATTATGTGCTATATAGATTCTAAAACAATTCAGCAATAAAATATGGGAATTTGAAAACCAGTGTCACAGTCCCCACTTGTCACGTTCAAGAGGGTTTAATCCCAGTTCTCCAAGACTCTTAAATATATAACACACTAGGGGTAGCTTTACATTTTTTCCTGTAACTGTATTTAAGGAAGCACTATCTTTTTACATCACCCAGAATGTTCCACAGTATGGCATTATGTCACATTTATCCATTTCCAGGTGTTTTTATAGCCAACAAATACCATGAAAGACATTTAATTTGGCCTGATGGTGTCACTTGCTTGTCTTGATCGATATATGTAGACATGTTTAATGTCATATTGTGAAACATTTTAGGAGAAGAGCAGCAACATATCCATGGAGACCAGCAAGTGCACCTTTAAATAAAACAGAATAATCAGAATGATGATGTGAATTAATTATTTTTAATGTTTGCTTCATTACAGATTGTCAATGGATACTTTGTGCATTTTTTTGCCCCTCCTGACCTTCCCAGAATCCCAGTCAATGTGGTGTTTGTCATTGACAGAAGTGGCTCAATGAGTGGATTAAAGATGGAACAGGTAACATCATTAATTTAGTGTAAACAAATGTAATCTTACTGTATAACAAAACAAGTCCTGTATTTTGTGTTTTGTAACAGACCAGACAAGCACTCAGTGCCATTTTGAATGACCTCCATCAAGAAGACCACTTCGCTTTAATAACATTTGATCATAATATTAATAAGTGGAAAAAATACCTCACCAAGGCAACTCAGAAGAATATCACTAATGCCCAGAGTTTTGTGAGCAAGATAGTGGACAATGGCTGTAAGTAGAGCCTCTAAGATAGCAGGTAAAACCATTGTTTTGACAGACCAATGTTTCTCAAAGCTGGTGGTACAAGCTCCTTCAGGTGGTACTTGGGACAGGTCTTCAGTATGTGGGTTTGAATTATTCAGAGTTCAGAGTTTTATCCACTTTTCTGTCCTTTGGATAATGTCTTAAATCTGGTTTAGCTCTAGATTAGACATAGAATAGGCTTAGTGGCACCATAAACTGTATATATAAATAGACATAGCTAACTCTCCAAATAGGAAGGCACTTTCGGCTCCATGAAGTCTGTTTACAACTGACATTACACTGAAAATTTGTCACCTCTTTCTCTGTAACTGCTGCTGTGAGCCTCGTAATTTTGGTTTTATATGTAAAATCCTGCCCTCTGAGATTATGACATCACATGCTAGTATTAACCCTTTCTAGATGATCCTGATGTTTTAATTTTGCTATTTTGACGGTAAATAAATTCCTATTCCTAATATGGAACTGGTTCCAAATTACATCACACCTTTGTCCACTTCTCTATATAGTCTGTGGGTGTCACGCTCAGTTATAGGCAGAGTTTTGAACTAGTGGTTGTTGGAAAGCCAAATATTTTCTTTGGTGGCACTTGGCAAATGTAAGAGCTACTGAGATAGACAGTATTGTAGCCCTCACCTTTTATTAGAGATGCCAAAAAGATAATATTTAAGTGCAATGTCTTTGTTGTTTAGCCACTGACATACACCGCGCTCTGCAGGAGGCTGTGGGCTTGTTGAAGGACAGCCGTGAGAAAAACACTGTTCCAGAAAAAAGTACAGATATGATAATTTTACTCACTGATGGAAATCCAAACCATGGTGAGTTTGCATGTGAAAAACTAACAATCTGTGTGTGAAGTATACACAATGTTTCGTTTTTTGTTCTTTTACCTAGGAGTCAGTAGCATCCCTGTGATACAGAAAAATATTAAGGCTGCCATTGCTGGGAACATGTCACTGTTTTGTCTTGGGTTTGGGAATGATGTGGATTATTCTTTCCTGGATGTAATGGCAAGGGAGAATTTGGGAGTGGCACGTAGGATCTTTGAAGGCTCAGATGCAGCTCTTCAAGTTCAGGTACGCTAGACCAGTGGTAGAACGTATCAGAGTAAAAGTAGGAAAGTACTGTGTTTAAGTAAAAAAAGCAAACAAATGTGTTTAGCAAACAAAAACAAACAAAATACAAATACAAACTGCTCCAAAAATCAATCCAATTGTTTCTGTTGAACAAAATTCAGCATAAATCTTCATAAATCTATCAAAATTTGAAGCTTTATAAGACCTCAAAATCGGTGCAATATACTTTTACTTTTTACTCTTTAAGTACATGTTTTAGGTACTTTAATGCTTTTACTTAAGTAGATTTTTCATGTGATAGTTTTACTTTTAGTAGACAATTTTTTTTCTCTAGTGTCTGTACTTTTACTTAAGTAACAAAATTGAGTAGTTCTTCCACCACTGTCCTAGACTGAAACAATAGAAATATGAACATGTAAGTTCTGTACTGTGTGTAATTTTAAATGTGTTTCAGGGATTCTATGAAGAGATTTCAAGTCCGCTGCTGTTAGACATCGGCCTGAGATATTCTGACAATGCTGTGATGACTCAAAACCACTTCAGACACTTATTCGCTGGGTCGGAGATTGTTGTGGCTGGCAAACTTCCTGATGACAATATCAATAATTTGTTGGTGGAGGTGTCTGCCCAAGGGGTAAGGGGTAATTACAACTTACACTGGTTTCTTGGGGTAGATAAAACTATTTCTAAACTATTTTAATACAAGTGCATAATACTGCATACTTCTAACATCTGTTTAAAAATTGGATTGTAATCGCTATATGAAATGTGAAGTTTTATTCTTTTTTGTCAGGAAGAGTTTATTACTGCTATCAAACATATTTCTAGACCATGAATGCACATTTTATTTTAAAGGTGCACTGCACAACTTTTCTGGTGGAGGGGGTGCCACCTGCTTGTCTCCGTGGAGATGCTATTGCTTTGCCTGAAATGTTCCATGGTATGACTTTAAATATTTCCATCTGGCAGCTATTCATTACAAATGTTTATACTTCTCAAAAATACAATAAATCCTTTTGTGAAAAGGGGCAACTCTCCACAGATCTGACCTGTAATATAGCTTAGTGCTGTAACCCAGTGTTTTGTGAACAATTAGTATTTCTCAAGTTTTAAACAATGAAAAACAGTGATTAAACCAGCAATAAAAGGAATGCATAAGCATCCTAAAGTGCACTGACCTTTGCTGATTGATCACACTTCTTTTTGGACAACCAAGCCAGCATTTCTGAACTTAAGCCGCAGGAACACTCGTTCAGGGCAAGCAGATAGGATTCGCTGACTCACTAGCTCTCTCGTGTGTCAGAACTGTATATTGCAGACCTACATGCAGATCGAGACAAGGCGGCCCCAAAAAATCTCTAGTGACCCACCTGAGGGTCACGACCCAGTCTTTGGGAAACAATGCTGTAACCTGCTTGTGTCGCTAGTCATAGATACGTTTAATCTATACTGTGGAACATTTTAGACAAAGCAATAACATTTCCATGGAGAAATCAAGTGGCAGACTCTCCACTAGAAATGTTACTCAGTGCATCTTTAATTATGCAGATATTGTCATCTTCATTTTTTTCAGCCCAGTAACGACTTTCAGGTCAAAGGTCAGCCTAATGCTGAGGAATGGGATGTAATCTACCCAGATGAGGAATACATCTTTGGGAATTTCACTGAGCGCCTGTGGGCCTATCTCACCATCCAACAGCTTTTGGAAAAGAGGTTTCTTTAAAATCTTAATTTGTAATAAAACCCTTAAGTATATACACACTTTTTGAAACTTTTTGCTACTAGTAACATTGGTGATCCACTGGAGAAGGAAGAGAACAAAGCAAAGGCCCTGGACATGTCCCTGAAATACAGCTTTGTCACTCCTCTCTCCTCCATGGTCGTCACCAAGCCCCAAACCAAAGACGAACCCAACACACTGGTGGCAGATAAATTCACTGAAGGTATTCTAATATAGTATTCTAGATACTGGATTGACACTTCATGTTCATATAATAAAACTACTGATTATGCTTAAACTTAAAGATCCTATATTACATAAAATTTACTCTTACACAAAATTTACTCTTACACAGAATTTACTCTTATGAGCTTTAAGCCATTTTAGAATGTTGTTACTTCATTAAAAACACAACCGGAGTTGCGTTTGTTTAATTCACACATGTAATCCTTCCACCTTGTGATTTCATCAAGTGGTAGTTTTCAAAATAACAACTACCTTTCACCTTTTGTTCAGTAGAGATTTGCAATTCCAGATCTGAAATGATCCAAATCTTTCTAGTGAGGGTGTACTGAGTTTAAAAACACAGTGGAGCATTTCCTGTTTTACTACATGACATCACAAGGTGGAACAGAGTATTTTCTGTCTGAGAAAAGAAGTCAGCCTAAATATACATGCTGTGTTTGCTAAACTTGTGTGAATGAAGCAAAGCTCAACTCCAGGTATGAAACAACATTATAACACAGATCAGAAAATAACGTAAATGAGTCTTTTAAGGCATAAATGATTTGCTGTGAAAAGTTAAACACCAAACAGAAATAACTACACTGAAATCTTGTCTTTTGATTGTTTTAAAGATCAGAGGCAACAAGCTGAGAGGGCCTCTGGTGCGGCAGCTGCACCTTCCCGTTCTGGGCATTGGTCCATGGCCCCAACCGGCAAAAGAGCAAAAGGACTAAGTGGAAGAAGCAGAATAGGGAGTTTGCGAGCAGATGGTAGTACATTCTGTATATAAAACAGTTATGTATTATTAGCACTGATGGGGAGAATATTTGAAAATATATTTAGTTACAGAACACTGAATACCTGCAGTAGAATGTATTTTGTAGTACATTTGGATACATGGTCTAGTCAGAGTAGTCAGTATTCTGAATACTTAGAATACTTGCATTTAACTTATAATGTAAACATGCAGAAACAGGTTTATGTTTGTTTTCAGTTTGTTCTCTCTCTGCTTGGAGAAGGAAAATCTGAATACGTATTCTTTGTACATGTATTCAGTTACTTCTCTACACTGTGTATATGTAACTGGAGGCAGCGTAGTTTAGGAACTTTCTGAATTGTGGGTTTATTTTTAACAAGTTTAAGCATTTAGTATAAGAAAGTGTTTAATGTTTGTTATGGTTGTTGTATGCAGCGGATGGAGACCCACACTTCATGATCGAGCTGCCTGAAAGAGAAGATGCTCTGTGCTTTGACATCAATGATAAACCAGGAACAATTTTCAACCTAGTGAGAGATCCTACATCAGGTAATACAATTTTTTTTATATTAATCAGACCAAAGCAACTATTTTTACATGCTATAGGTCTCACGAGGGTTACATCATGCTCATTGACAAGTTAACAATTAATGGAAGCAGACAGCAATGAATTTATCAAGGCTAATTTGTATTTCAACAGCAGGAATTTCCACAGTGTCAGTGTGTTACAATTTTGCTATAACACAATTCTCTATATTAAACCGGACAAAAACATCCTATATTCTCTGTATTGACTATATATAAAATGATATATGGACTCAAAATTATTGGCAGGACCCTAAGACGATAAAATTTTGTAGTAATGGGCTAAATGTACTTGGTATTTTCAGGATTCGTTGTCAATGGAGAGATCATAGGAAAACATGTTGCTGGAGATGAAGCTAACATGAAAACCTACTTTGGTCGATTTGGCATTACCCATAGTTCTTTGGGAGTAAGGCTTGAGGTGAGCACTCAGAACATCACCGTGACCCAAGACGGGGAGCACATTCTTCTTTTCTGGTCCAATGCAACGACAGTCAAAGGGATCAAGTGAGTATCTCAAAACTTCACATGTATTTTTACATCAATTTGGATACTGTTCTCATATAAAAATTATGTTGTATTCATTCTCCAGTTTAGAAATCAAACTGACCAAAAATTGTAGCCTTATGGTGACGATAAGGCATGCTGTTAAGTTCATGGTAATTAAACATACAAAGATCTGGAAGAGACGCCACAATCAGCAAGAATATTTGGGCTTCTACAACCTGGACAGTCATCACCTTTCTCCTTCAGTTCATGGTCTGCTGGGTAAGACCATAGACTGTTTATATAAATACTTCTATAATAAATTCTAAATACTTAGTTTATATTATACTTCTCTATACAGTCTATGGGTAAGACTAGGGTGACCAAATTTTCAAAATCAAACGCTGGGACACCCCTCGTTTTCAGGTGGTTGGTAATAATAAAATTGTGAAACAAGTGCATAATTAATCAAATCAAATCAGTCAAACTTTATTTGTATAGTACATTTCATACATTTGAAATGTTGCACAAAGTGCTTCACAGCAGCAACCCCCCCACCCCAGGTTTTAATCCATTTATACAACAAATTAAACAGAAACATAAAACAAAAACATAAAGCTCCTAAGGTTAGAGTAAGAATAAAAATGGAGAGCTAAGATCAGATGCAGACTAAGTAAAATAGTAATGATAATTTTATTTTAAACAAATATAATAATAACAACAGTAATAATAAGTTAAAATTAAAGCCGCGCGCTGCGATGGTGGCCCTCGCCCCGGCACGCACCGCCCCCCCACGCGATCTCCAGGGACTCGCGACCGCCCCGGCACGTCACCCTCTCTTCCTGACATCCGCCCAGGCTGACAGCTCGTCCATTAGACACATTACATAATGCACCTTTAAATATTTTTAGGAGCCATTGCGCCCCTGCTGGCCAACAGTGTAAAATGCACCATATCCATTATATATATTTTTGCTCATAATATGCATAGAATTTATTCCCTGAATTTGGTACAAATCCAATAATGTTGACATGTCATGTCTATGGTAGGGGGCGCTATGGAGTTCACTTTTCATATGTTTTATAGTGTATTATATTCAGGCTGGGATCATGCATTAGTGATTCAAATTTCAGCACGATCGGACTCAGCCTGTGTCTGTAATCATTTTTTAAATATTTTTTGGGGAAGTCTTTGCGCCCCTGCTGGCCAACAGTGAAAAATGCCCCATGTCCATAATACAATTTTTTGCTTGTATTCATGTGTAGAATTTAATCCCCGAATTTGGTCCATTTCCGATAATGTTGACGTTTCATGTCTATGGTAGGGGGTGCTATAGAGTTCACTTTTCATGTTTTATAGTGTATTATATTCAGTCTGGGATCAGGCATTAGTGATTCAAATTTCAGCACAATCGGAGTAAGCCTGTGAGTGTAATAATTTTTTAACAGTTTTTTTAGGGAGTCTTTGCGCCCCTGCTGGCCAGTGGTGGAAAATACATTATGTCCATAATGTATTTTTTTTGCTTGTATTCATGTGTCGAATTTAATCCCTGAATTTGGTACAAATCTGATAATGTTGACATTTCATGTCTATGCTAGGGGGCGCTATAGAGTTCACTTTTATTAGATTTCATATTTCATTACATTCAGGCCTGGATCACGCAATTGTGATTTGAATTTGAGCTCTCTAGGCCAATGCCTGTGGCCGTGACAGGTCACTGAAAAAACAGGAAATGAAGGCGTTTTTCGCCGGCGTGCTACATAAGGAGTATCTCAGAAAAAGTTGAAAACATCTGTGAGTTTATGTCTCTAGATGTGACTCTAGATGTGACTCGTCAAATTTGAGCTCATTTGGAGCAAACCCCGGGGACTTGAATCTTTTTGTAGACACCCAAGTCAAAACGGCGGCGAATGTTTGATCCAATATGGCCGACTTCCTGTTCATCATAGGGTCATGCTCCAATTCATCTTTTGTCTTGTCTCATTGTTCTCTATCACTGTTCCGAATTTCGTTTCCCTGTGACAAACTTTGCACGTCCCTACTCCCATAGGGGTCCAATTCTAGGTGGCGCTGTTGAGTCGGGTCACTTTGGGCATTGTCACGATGCCCATTTTATCAAATTTTTCACTGGGCCGATCGATCTGATACCCGGGTGTGGGACTTTTCGTCCATGTTCAAGGGGTCAAAAATGCGATTGTTTGGTCGGAAAGGGAATAAATAAAAAGAAACCGACGAAGAACAATACCCCTCGCCCCTAGGGCCAATTAGTGGCGAGTGCCAACAAGTTAAAACAAGTAAAAGTTTCAATTAAAAGCTAAATTAAAAAGCTACGTTTTGAGTTTACTTTTAAAAATATGAACACTTGCAGCGGACCTCAGATCCTCAGGTAGACTGTTCCACAAACAGGGGCCGTAAAAGCTAAAAGATGCCTCACCGTGAGTTTTAGTTTGGGTTTTTGGGACAGTTGAGGACCTGAGAGTCCGAGAGGGCTCATATGTTAAAAGCAGATCAGATAAATAAATAGAACTAAGACTATTAAGAGCTTTATAAATCAATAAAAGAACTTTAAAATCAATCCTGAAGCTCACAGGAAGCCAGTGCAGAGACTTCAGTACTGGGGTGATGTGCTCTCTCTTCCTGGTCCTTGTCCGCAGCTGTGCTGCAGAATTTTGGAGGAGCTGTAGTCTGTAGTGGAGCTGTGGTTTTCTTTGGAAGACCAGAAAGGAGAGCATTACAGTAATCACCACGGTTTGTGATAAAAGCATGTATTAAAGTCTCTGCACTGGCTTGAGAGAGAAATGGTCTGACTCTGGCAATATTTTTTAGATGATAAAAAACAGATTTAGTGAGGGAAATTATTATGTGTTATGTACTCGGCCCATTCATGACTAACATGCGAGTCAGTATAGTCACATTTGCTTTGTGTTTTGGTGATTTTTAAGCATACTTTTCTATATTTTACCTAATCAAATGATATTTATTTATGATTTATGTTTCTCTTTAATGTTGGCGTGTATTAAATTGGTGAAAAATAGGGACACCTGAGACATTTCTTGTATAAAACTGGAACAAATCCCTGGTTTTGAATAAATCTGCTGGGACCGGTGACACTGGGCTAAAAACTGGGACTGTCCCGGGTAAATAGGGATGTCTGGTTACCCTAGGGAAGGCACACACACTTAAGAATCCTCAGAAATAAAAATAGACAAATAAACTCACTGTAGACTAGCTCACTGTGTCTCAAAGCTAACTTTTATTAAAATATTAAAACATAAAATAAACTGCATATTAAAATTCAAATTTCTTAAACTAAAAAATTCACCCATAGTTTTCTGTTCACCGCCTTATCTTTACATATTTATTCATTTTAGCACGACTCTGCAAAAACCACATAGAGATAAAATTGGACAGGAAGTAGTGACTCTAACAGTGAGCCTACACAGAGCCCATTAAAGCCCAACCTCATAACCTTTTACACCAAAGTAATAAAATAAAAGCCTACATTATATTTTTTCATTTTGAGTTTTAATTGCACTAAAACTTTAAAAAACATAAAAGGTAAGCCTCTACCTGTTTGTCACTATAGAAATTGTTGCACTGTGTGGCATAAAACATATCTATTTTGTCATATAGATGAAGAGCTGCCCCCAGAAAGTTTTGCACTTTTTTTGTTGCTTTAAAGGACCTATATTAAGCCTTTTTATTTTTAATCTGTGTTACTATGTTATCTCCTCATTCCAAACATTCCTGAAGTTAAATTCGTAGTATTCAGTTTGTCTCTTTTTTCCATTCAGGTCAGTTTTATCATGGAGTAAGTTTTGAGCTGGCACAGCCAGATCGAGGAGAGGGTACCATGTTTGTGAAAGGACAAGAACTCAGTGTCACCAGGTGATTGTGGAACTTTTTTCTATTTTATTTCATTTAACTCTGCTTATAGTTATGTTTAATGTTTTTGTATGTTTTATAAGCACTTTGGTCACCTTGAGTGTTGTAAAGGTCTCTGTAAATAAAGTTTTGATTGATAGTTGTTTTTTGTAACTTGCAGACACTGGCAGAAGGACTTCAGTCTGGACGTGATATCAGGAAAAAGTATTGGGTGCTGGTTTGTAGGAAACAATGGCACAGGGCTCATAGATGGAGCAGCTTCTGACTACATTGTGCCAAGTCTCTTTGAGAATTTCTAGGAACAGATAGGAAATATAGTTCAAAATTGATCAAATGAATAATAATCATCATCACATTTAGGCTGGGCACTGTTAAACTAATCTCCACAAGGCTATCCAAAAAGTTCTGCACAGAAAACATTCAGGTGGGTCCTGTGAGTAACAATCTGCTGTACCTACTAAACAGAAGAGCTGTGCAATCAATTCATTTAACTCAAATTGAGACCAAAATATTCCAAAATGTAAATGAGATCAGCTTAATTGACATGTCTGTAGCCAATACTCTTGTCAGCAAAACCTTAAGATTTGGCGCAGAGTGTGGACTTTTGGAAGCAGGATTTTAACGTTTTTGTGTTAAATGGCACAAATCTGGGAAGTCTTGTAAGTTCATCAAATTAAACGCTGATATTGTGATCAATCAAAAAAAAAACTAAACAAAAAAACCCCAGAACTTTTTTTTAATGTATATAATCCTAGTCGGCTTGCTACTCTAAGTTATATAGCCAACCAAAGAAAGCTGAGTGGTATGCAGTCCTTGTTGCTGTACTTTAAAGAGAAGATATTACTTAAAGAATGTAATACATAGTACAGAGTACACTATAGACTACAGTGTGTGTGTGAAAGGGGTAAAAGATTGTCAAGTTTGTTGTATTTTTTCTAAAACAATACAATTTCATTAAACTCTATTTTTGTATTTTGAACGTAATAAAATAGTTTTAAAACATAAATGTATGTTCCGTGGATTATCCTACCCTATGGTATGGTATGGGAGCACCGATATCCAGCAGGGGGCGCCCTTACGTTGTAGAAATCACCCTCACCCCGGACTGAAGACTGAACGTAAAGCCAGAGACCCGCGATGAAGCGCCACAAGGTCACATGTGTCTAAACCAGGTATGATGACTGACCACATGAAGGATCTCGACAATTTTCTACTAATGGTTAAGTTTAGAATGTGTTTGCAAATTAGGCCTAAAGCGTTCAAAAAAACCCAAACAAAACAAACAAAAAAAATCCCATAAACGCTCTTAGACTGATTAACTAATAAATAAGCTAATAAACTGCTAAATAAAATATGGTTTCAACATTGTGTGTAGTTAGTTATTCTATAAAATCCCATAAAATAGTGCTGCCAACCAGGTAAGCTCCGTCGGTGTATTTTCTGCATGGCCTAAATTAAGTGTTGCAGCTGTATGCTTAAGCTAGTTTCACATGTGCTATTGTCCAAAAACAACAGGGTTTTGTTGCAAAAAACCTTGTTGTAAAAATAAACTATTATTACAAAGCTGAAACTGCGTTATATCTACATGTTACACTCCTATTTTGTGTATTTCATTGTCTGTGTGCAAAGTTTTTACATGCAAAAAAAATAAAATAAAATAGTACCGAAGAACAAAAAGTAGTAGTTACGAAGTGGTGTTGCAGTCATCCTACTCGTAAAACAGATTAAGCCTTGTAATTAAATCAGTAGTAGTTAGTTGTATAGTTGTTTTATGGCCTAATTCTTCACCTGAATATCTTAACTATAGGCTGTATGAACTTCAGTGAAATGAGTGTGGAATAACAGCACGCTTTTGCACATCTTTCATGAAAAATTAGAGTTTATGGAACATTGGAACATCTATAAAGCTTTTATCAACATTGATAAAAGCGTTATAGATATTTTTATACAGTGATTTTGACCGTGAAAAACATAAAAATGCTCTGAAAAAGCTGTGCCACTATTAGGCCAATTGTAGTAAACGGTGCAGTAACATTAGTGGCTTTCCCAGCATAGATTTAACAGCAAAACCAACGGCATTCACCCATTATGTCCTTGAGCAAGACACTTCACCTGTCTTGCCTCAGGTGTCTATGGATATGAATGTGTGTATGATTGTGTGTGTGTGTGTGTGTGTGTGTGTGAGAGAGAGAGAGAGAGAGAGAGTGAATAGGCCTATGGGACAAAGGATGGAAACATTCACCATCTGACCAAATAAACACTATTAGCCTAACATTACTAATATAAATATTCGCCAGACGTTTATATTATAATTTGAAACCTTTGTTGTTATTTGTTTGTAATGTTTTCTCTTTGAAAGACCAGTACATTATGCTCATATTTATGCACTATTATGCCTTTGTTTTTAGGGACTCACTTCACTCCACTCTGGCTCCGATTACGCAGACTATTATAGCGAGGGTAAGTGTGCTGACCCCAGTCATGTCGGAAGTTCAACAGTTCGTCTGGTGTTCGTGAGGGGGATCGCTGGAGAAGTGTTTGCCTGTGTGTGTCTGTGCTGGTTTATACGTGTGTGTTTGGCTAAGCTCTCTGATTAACTGCAGATGTGCACGGCTCTGGGTGTTGGCCATAGTTAAAGAGGACCCGCTGTACTTCATTCAGGCCTGCTTACACACACTGCTCAAATGACTTCTTCGCACATGACTAGCATTAATATCTGTGCTGTACATTACAAACGTTCCTTCAGGGTCAGCAACATCAGGTCACTGAAAGAAAAAAAAGTTTGGATTTTGGTGAGAAATTGTGTTCCTAATCTCCACTAGAGGGCAGAAAAGTGCTGTAAACTGTGAGACACGCGTGTCTGCTAGTATTTAATGTGCCAATGTGAAATGAACACACTTACCTGCACACGTGTAATTACTTATTGAAAGAATAATACATAATTTACAGAAAATCAAATTTTTTCCTCTTTTATTAGATTTTTTACGGTTTACATTTTAACTTTACAGTCAAACTTCAAAGTAATGCCTTTCCTGAATTCCTATGCATCATATAGGAAAAAACAAATGAAGTAATTATATGTTAAGAATGATATAGGCTGGTACTATATTTTATCTGGAAGTCTTTTGATGTATTTTGTTCATTTTGATTTATTTCAGAAACTCTGTACTGCAGACTACTAATCCTGCATGAGTTTGACAACTGCTATTTCACATCTGTGTCCTCCCTTCAAAACTTGACAAACTTCTGAACCTCTAAAAAAATCCATCCACGGTAAGTTGTTCTTTCTTCCATTTTAACCCTTTCCCCTGGCTCACCTCACCTCACAGGTCGGTGCTCTCTCTCCCTCCCTCGTGCCCGTGTGAATATTTGACATTGCTGTTGCCGCTGGTGCGTGATGCAGAGACTGAGCGTTCATTGTGTGTTTGTGGTGTGGGCTCTGCTGCGGTATGCGTCTCCTCTGCGTGTGGTGTGTGGTGACAGGCGTGTGGCCGCTGACGCCAGCCGGTCGCCGGGCTGTCTGTCCCTCTGTCTCCACGGTTACACCTGAGCGCTGCTGACATGGCCTCACAACCGTGCAACCACACCTGCAGGTGAGCTCTGCAACCACAGCAACATGAGGGGAAACTCGCCTCTTTCAGCATTCTTATTTTAGTTTGTAGATTTTGGATAAATTTAATTGGTGGTTTTCAGATTCTAGAATGTGATTTATCCCAAAGGTAAATTTATGTTAAACTGGATCATTTCTGTCAGTGACTTCACCCTAGAACTCACTGTTTTTCAACAGAAATCTGCGTTTTATTAATTTTGGCTGCCCCCCATCTGTATTAAATATTTTTGACTTAGAGTATTGTGACGTCATCTGAAATTCAGCAATAGTTTGGAACTTTGCAGAGTGTATTCTTTACAACAACAGGCTCAAACTTACAACGGTGGTGTGGTTTAAAAATAATAATACATTTAGATCAAGATGTAATAATGCATTTAACTTGCATTGATCATGTTTGTTCTGATTTAGTTTAGTTTTGAACTCTTTAATTTATTCTGCCCAGATAAAAAGTGGACTACTTAAAGCCATAGCAAACCTTTGCAGTGGTTTCCTAATATTATGCATAATTCTGTTATACTTTGTTATACTTTGTAGAAATCTGGTTCAGTTATGGGCTTTGACAATCAAAAGGTCGGAGTGGAGAGAGCATTTGAAGGGAGCTCTGCAGGCATGTAGCGATATGCTGTGGAAGTCCGCTCCATATTGCAGCGGCCGCTCTGTAATCCTTGGTACTTAGTGTGTTCTTTGGGGCTGCTGAGGTGAAAAGTTGAACCTGGTGTTGACCTTCTCTTGAAATAAGGCTTAGCTCTGAAGTCAGGCCCAGGCCAAAGGCACAGGGAGGATATTCTGGAGTTCCTGTGCCCTCCTCAACTCTCCCCTCCCACACGGAAACAATTCACATCTACGATAAGACGCTGTACATATTTTCAGCATTTTATCTCTCCTGTTTTGGTTGTTTGTTTTTACTTCATGACGAAGGTCTTGTGTCCTCCTGTCACGGTGCTGTTAATCACCATCACATCTGATCCTTTGGTGCGAGGAGTGATCAGTGGAGTCTATGTTTATCACCAGTACAGAGGGTTGGATTTGAGAAAGATGAAAATCAGCAAACCGTTTCAACAAAAATATACAAACAAATAAAAAACAAAAAACAAAAAAAAAACAAGATTAGACTGAATGACAATTTAATTCAAGTTTTAACATTTAACACATATGCAATAAACATAAATAAAACACAAGTAGTAGTAAACGAAGTCTGCACCTAATTTGAAAGACACTGTTACTCTAAAAATGATCTGTCCATAGTAATCAGTAAATTAGTTAATGGTATCATGTTTATAACTTGTACAAGTGTTACATTTTCTATTAGTTTATATTACATAAAAATCCTTCAAAATAGTAAATTAAATAAATGTGCAAATGCGTGTTTTACATTCTTTGTTCTAATAATTCAGCTATTAGAGATGCCACGTTGCGAAATTTTAGTGTTATAATTATTGTAAGAAGAAACAATTACACAATTTGACACCCTGACCAAACTAAAGGAGGATCTTATATTTACTTTCATTGACATTGTATAATGATCACAAATTTTGCTATGCAACAAGCTTTATGAAGTCAAACTTTTGTGACATAAATAATCAAGATGATCAGTTAAGCAAATAGTGAATAGATATCACTACCTAATTAGGTTCAGAATTAGGTTTTCCTTTCCTCTTGCCATTTTAAAATTATTAGAATTGTAAACAGATACAGATACAGACAGGGTTTTAATTAATAAAGCATTAGTTACAATATTTAAAAATAACCCTTTGCAAATAGTCTACCTTTACCATCCATCTGTTGTGTTGTTCAATTTACAGGTCTGATGGGTAATATATAAGACCTCAGATCCTTATCCACTATGACATGGTTTAATCTTAAAAAACAAAAATTAAGCTAAAATTTAGTAAGCTAATTTAGCATTGTTTGTGCGTCACTTCGCTTGACTGTGGCTTTAGAGGCAGCACACTTTGTGAAGATTGACTTTTCTTATCACGTTCAATCGTTCATTCACTGATGATATTTGCTGATTCAAAGCAGTGTGACCTAGTATTTTGAACCAGAACTTGCTCTGACGTTCCCTGAGTCAACTGGAGCAGCTGCCTTCATGGCCCAGAGATATGAGCTTGACGGTGGACATTGAGGCATACGTACTGCACTCTCTTCTCCATCTGTTTTAGTTTTGGAGTGGTTGTGATAACCTCGCGCCAACCCCTGATTGGTCTAATCTCACCCTCATCTTCCCGAGCGGGTCAGCTGACAAAGAGCTGTGCTCCCATTGGCCCAAGCATCACTGAGGGACAGGAATTTGTTTAGTGCTTGTCTTAGGAAAACTTAGCCAGTGAGAAGTTTAGTCTACCGTCTGAACCATAGCAAAACTTCAAAACACAGAATTACGAGGAAGTTTAGGGCGA